TCAGGGTCCTTGGCTGCCTTCAGAGGAAACACAGTGCCTGGCTGGGCAATTTCTTGAATTTTTAGGAGCATTTCCCTGTGAGGGAACTCTGGAGAATGGTCGTTTATGTCTGTGAGCTGCAGGTCCATTTGAAGGAACTGCACAGGGTTTTCCAGAATGATCTGGAAGTGCAGCACACAGGGTTCTGTCACCCCGCACAGCAACTCACGGTCTGGTTTTTCCTTCAAGAACAACTTTCCTGTCTCTGCATCCAGCTGCAAGAGCTCTTTGTTTCCTCTGTGATGGATTCGAGCCCCTCTAGTGGCCAGTTCCCCTGCCCTGAGCCCCAGATCTTTTGACAGGTTAGCCACCAAGTAGCCACTTTCAGTCTCTTCTGGCATGGAATAACGAATCGCCTCAGAACCATATCCCCGCCATAGCAACAATATAGTGAGAAAAACGACTTGCCTTGTCTCTGGCGTTTTTGCTGGTGCTGCTTCCATTGTTCAGATGGGATCCAGAGGACGCTGCTTCTAACTCTTGTCAGTTTTAATCCACACAGATGGTTTGGTGAAATAATCGCGAATTAAATCTTACTGAATCGTTTTCAGGAGTCCTTTCCCCCAGATCTTACGTAAATGCCCCCTCCTTTCAGGGAACACCCAGCCTTTTGATTCCCAGGAATGGCGTCCTGGGCATCCTGGGAGACCCCTGTTATACAAATCTTTAGACTGCAGCGCCACCGTGTGTACTATTCTAGTGTTGCACATAATGTACATTTTGTTCTCAGTTCCAGCCCTGAAGATCTTCGGGTCTTTGCAACCGGAAGTTCCAACACATTTGCAAAGTTAATTGTCAGTGAAAGGTAACTTTTTAAATGAATAAAATGGCATCTTGATCTTAAAGAAAGCCGTTTTGCATACAGAAATCCAATGTTATGGATATCTACAAAATATTTGAATATTCCCAAATTACTTTTTATTGAAGTGTAACACATATGAAATAGGGCTCCAGTCTTACGTGTACAGAATAATAAAGGATCAGCAATTTAACACAGTCCAACAAGCAAAATCTAGATAAAGAAATAACTAAACAAAAAATGTTCCTCATGTCATTCATTAGTTACTACTCTCTGCTTAGGCACTGCATTGACTTTTATTACCATAGTACATTTTGTCTTTCTGAGAGATTTAAAAAGTGGAACCAGTAGAGTATTTCTCTGCCAGAGTATTTTTCTTCATTACCATTTCCTTTGGTAAGCTCATCTATGGTGTGCTGTCTCTGTTGTTTGTATCATTGCTCCATGTGCTTGTGTTAGTATTTGTATGCATACATTCCAGAAAAGAAACATTGGGGGATTCCAGGTTTGAGTTTTATTTCTTTGTATTTTGAGTCAGGATCTCTCCTCATAGCCTTGGCTGTCCCAGAACTCCCTGTGTAGACCAGGCTGACCTGGAACTCACAAAGATCTACTTGCCTCTGCCTCCTGAATGCTGGGATTAAAAGTATGCTCCACCAGAGCCAGGCCCAAGGTTGAATTTTTAATATTCCTCCTATGAACAACCTTTTATACTTCCTGTGCATAAAATATGTATATATTACATGTATCAGAGTTGCTTGCTGTAGGTCAAAGTGTGAAAATACATTTAACATTGGCAAACACTGAAATATATGTCAAAATTAGATGATGTACTGAGCCACCCCTGGTTGTTCACCCCTGTAGTCCCATCTCTGGGAAGACACACAAGGGGGAATCAGGAGCACAAGGCAAGTGCAGAATGTATAATGAGTCACTGTCTCAATTTTTTAAAATGTTTCGGATAGAGGCACAGATCAATTGTAGAATGCTTGCCTAGTGAGCTCAGTGGGTGAGTTCCATTTTCAGCAATGTGAAAAAGCTATCCCAGCAATGCATAAGAACCCCAGTTGATCCATAATCTTGTCAACATCTGATACTGTCGTCCCAGTTTTAACCACTGTAACAAGTATGGATATCGTAGAGTACATTTATTAGCATTCCC